AGGACAGAGGACCAGGCAGAGGACACAGGACCGGACAGAGTCTGTGAGGAGGACAGAGGACCAGGCAGAGGACACAGGACCGGACAGAGTCTGCGAGGAGGACAGAGGACCAGGCAGAGTCTGTGAGGAGCACACCGGCCGGACAGGGAAGAGTCTGTCTGTGAGGTGACATCAGACGGAGCAGAGTCTGTGAGGAGGACACGGGACGGGGAGGAGGCTGTGAAGATGACACAGGATCAGGAAGAGTCTGTGTGGAGGACAAAGGACTAGGCAGAGTCTGTGAGGAGCATGCCAGCTGGACAGGGAAGAGTCTGTCTGTGAGGTGACATCAGATGGAGCAGAGTCTGTGAGGAGGACATGGGATGGGGAGGAGGCTGTGAAGATGACAAAGGACCAGGCAGAGTCTGTGAGGACACTAGTCTGAGCAGAGTCTTTGAAGAGGACACAAGACTGGGCAGAGTTAAACCCTGTTGGACACAGTCACTATGAATGGGATTTAAGAGCACCTAAAACAAGAAGAAGTTATTCCAGCTGTGAGAAGGTGAAGCCGTGTAAATGTATTTCTGTCACAGAAGCTGCCAGAAGGCCAGGCAGAAGTAAGGAAGAGCATGATGGGAAGATATTTCCCATGATTCCATCTACAAACCACAAGAATCGGGAATTGATGGATCACCACCAGTTGGTATGTTTCAAATGACAGACGTAGCCCTGGATGTGCTCATCAGACTATTCCTGGAAAGTTGGAGGAAAGCTGCTTGGTCAACTGATGGGAAAAGCTGAATGTTTGTTCCCATTCCCAAGAAAGGTGGCCCAACAGAATGAGGAAGTTCAACAATATTTTTAATATCTCATGAACACAAAATATTGCTGAAGATCATCTAAAACCAGCAAGAAAAGTGCATTGACAGTAACCTGTCAGAAGTCCAAGCAACATTTAGAAGAGGCTGTGGCACCAGGAATATCATAGCTAATGTCAGATGGATCCTGGCTGAAAGCAGAGAATACCAGAAGAATGTCTCTGTGTTTTATTGAAATAAAAAAGCATTTCACAGTGTGGATCATAACAGATTATATCTAACATTGAGAAGAATGTAAACAATTATGCTCACATGAAACTTACACTAAGAAGCTGTTGTCTGATCAAGGGAACACTGACTTTTAAAACTGAGCATGGTGTGTATCAGAACTGTATCCTTTCTCCATACTTATCCGATCTGCTTGTTGAACCTGGACTCAGTGAAGAGGAATGTGGCCTCAGGATCAGAGGAAGACTCTTCAACAACCTGTGCTACGGGGCCAACAGGCAATATCGTGATAGATGAACAAAGGCTTGAAGTTGTCAATGGTTTCCTCCTCCTTGGATCAACAATCAACACCCTTGGCCCTGGCAGTCAGAACAAGAGATGTACTGCATTGGGAAACTGCCACATCCTCTCCAAAATACTGAAGAGCAATCGTGTTAATTTGAAGACTAAAATGTGCCTGACTCAGCCCATGCTTGTTTTCCAATCACCTGCTATGTGTCTGAGAGCTGGACAATGACTAAGGAAGGCGGAAGAGTTGATAGCTTTGGAAAGTGGGAGAAAAGTACTGAATGTCCCATGGACTGCCAAAAGGACAAACAGATATGTCCTGGGAAAAGTGCAGCCAGAGTGCTCCATGGAGGCAAGGATGGTGAAGCTCAGGAGAGGCGATTCATTGGGAAGGGACATCATGCTGGGGAAGATGGGGGGTCAGTGAAGGAGAGGAACACCATCAACGATGAGATGGATCAACACAGTGAGTACAATAACAGGCTCAAGCATGTCGGCAATGATGAGGGCAGCACAGGACCGCACAAGGTTCAGGCTGTCCCCAGGGTCGCCATAGGTCATGCTTGACACCGCCTGAGAACAACTACTATAAGTAGAAATTGACTCCATAGAAAGGGGTTTGGTTTGGGGTTTTGAAATCACGGAAACTATGACATTCTCAGGTGTCACAGTTATTTCCTTGACTACTAGCTGAAGATGGGGCTGGTTGAACCCACCTGGCGGTGCCTCAAAGAGTTTGATAATATGCTTCTAAAAGGTGGCAGCCTCAGAACTCTGTAGTGTAATCTCACTGTGCGCACAAAGCATCCCCACTGTGTGCACACATCGGCACCCCCACTGTGCGCACATGGCAGCAGCATGATTTGGAATCAACTCATGGCAACTAACCACAAGTCATGGAGACCGGGATGGGAGTGGACAGAGAAGAGAGTGGAGAGATGCAAACGCCCAGGTTGTGAGCGCCTCTACGCCCAAGCGCTTTCTTACTTTTTATTTCCGTCTGAACCACTCCTGCCTTGTATCGAGCCGCATCCTTGATGATCTGTGTCATGTTCTGGGAAAACGTGCTGAGGTCTCTGACCGTCCGCAGGTGGAAGTGAAACTGAGATGTGGCCATGGCCTTGAGGTTTTCCTCCGAAGCTCTCTGCAGCCCCACAGACACGATCCTCACCCCGTCCTTCTGCAGGGCCCTGGCCGCCTCTTCCACGTCATCCTCGGACTCAGCGGAAGCCAGGACCACCAAAATGGGGGGGAACTGCTTCTTGTCTCTCCCGTTTGTGGGTGCAGAGAAATAGGTCCTGTGAGCCTCTTGGAGAGCGTTTCCTACGCGCAGGGACCCTCCGAGGAACCCGAAGTTTTTCTTCAGGTGGTTGAGCATGGGGTTCTTGGCCTTGAAGGTGTCCAGCTGGAACTCACTGTGGAGCTTGTCGCTGTACTGGGCCACGGCCACGCGGTACTTGCTGGGCTCTATCGGGAGACTGTTGACCATCTTGTTGATGAACGATTTCACAAATGGGAAGGACTTAGCGCCCAGGTGATCCGAGCTGTCCACCAGAAATACAACGTCTGCGTACTCAGGGCCTGGTTACATCAAAATAAAACAAGAAAACAAGATTATTGATCTTTCTTCACGTTTTAGTCCTTGAGAGAATGTTCTAGGACTCAGAGTAACACAGAATGCCAAGAAGCATGTCTGCTGGGCCTCAAACAAGAAATTACTTGTTTTGTGAAGTCATCAAGCAAGGGAACTTCTATATAGTTGGATAATAAATTTTTCTTTCTCAATTCTATAACAGTCAACTTGATTTTTGTTCTGAAACCCCAAATTCTGATCTACCAGAGAAATACATTATGAAACCACCAGAATGTCCCAATGTAGCCTTTTAGAAACAGTACGTAGTGAGCTATCACGAGTTGAAGGTCCCAGAAGCAGAGCCTGTGACAGAGACTTGGATACCTGGGCTGGCCTTAGGTGGAAGGAATAAAAGGTAAGCAGGACAGGAATTGGAAAGAGCAAAGACGAATGTATTCTCTGGGAAAGTCTGGCCTTTGCCTGATCTCTCTGGAGAATAAATTGTACCATGAATATTCCCTTTAAGGCCAGATTTGGTATGTCCCAGCAGTCAGTCGTTGGCTATAGACCATGCCCTGAAATCGTAGGTAAGGGGAAAAATGTTATAGACATGTTACTGTTGGTGCCATCAAGTCAATTCCAACCCTAGTGACTGTGTAGATCAAAACCATGCCCAAGCCTGGGCCATCCTCAAACCTGAGCAAAGACATGATGCTTAGAAAAGCAGAGGAAGACCCTCAAGGAGATGGGCCCACTGTGACTTCAGCAGCACACTTGAGCTCAGAGGAGACGGTGAGGTCCTCGGCACAAGCCCCTGGGCTTGGGGGCTCCCATCAGACAAGATGAGGCAGTGCTCACAGCAGCTGGGGGTCTGGTCCACCAGTCCAGTAAGGAGGGTCTGGGGAAGGGGAAGCTCCATTGTGTCCACTTGAACAGCTGTGGTTAGGCACTCCTACTAATGAAATTAGCGATGCCCTGGTAAATATCTAGGGAGCACTGGTGGCCTAGTGGGCAAAGTGTTGTGTTGTCAACCCAAAACCCACCAGCTTCTCCAAGGGAGAGAGGGCAGCAATGCCCTCCTGGACAGCTGATGCCTCTGAAGACCAGCTGGGGCACAATGAGTTTGGGGTTGAGGTAGATGTATGTCTAACAGCTAGTTTCCAACAGCACTGAGAAATGTGTCATGAAACCCCGGGTTCTTCCAGTGCAGAACTGGAAATGCTTCTCCGGAGGGCGTTCCATCACCCTGGGAGAGGAGGAAAACCCAGCTTTTATATTTTCTCCCTCCACTCAAGGAGAATGTGCCAGGCCTGTCTCTACTCCGTGTTATTAAAGAAAGGCAATGATTTACAAACACAAATGCCTACAATTTGTCTTCTACGTGTGCTTCCCTTTATCTTCTTTCATTCATTCAAAGCCACAATACAAACTGACCTACGCGCACACGGACTGGCTCTTGCTGAGGGCAGGGTGGACATCGGTGGGCAGCGAGCCTGACAGAGCAGAGCCCACGGCGTTCACCTGGGCCTTTCTGTTGTGTTTGAAAGACGATGCTTGCTTGCTATTTATATCCACAACTGCTACTCAGTGTTTGCTGCTTTTGTTTTCTAGTAAGTCGTTTCTTTCTACTTATAAAAGTGAATTTTGCTGAGTCCTCAGGATATGACTCTAAATAACAATAAACACAAAATGCACTGGTACCTGGGCTCCTGTCAGCTGACGTTTCAGTCCAGAGCATTAGGACAAACAGAATCAGCGGCATCTTCATTTTGTCAGTGAAAGGCTCCTACTTTAACTCTGGGAAAAAAAATATTTACAATCTCACATGTGTTGGTAACAGTCAGCAAAGCTGTTGAAGCAAGTTAGAGACCACACAAAGTTCCCAGAGGCTTCACTCGGCCACCGGTGCTGGGATACCAGCAGGCTCATTTCTGCGCTGCAGATGACGCTGAGGGGACACTGCAGTGGCCAGCAGTGAAGTGACCAGAAGTTTTATTCACGTTTTTGTATTGCCACCTTCTCCAGGCTACCAGAATATGCACTAAGGGAATCGTTACAATGAACATCACTGGATCGACATCATTTCACAAATACGCACCCACACGTACGGCATACTTGTGGAGAGCTGGAACAAATGTCTAAAGAGCCCTGGTGTCACAGTGGATCAAGCTTTGGGCTGCTGGCTGAAAGCTCAGCCCATTAAGTCCCCAGGTCGCTCTGGGAAGGAAGGCCGTGCGCCCCCCTACAATGTGCCACCACGGAAGCCCTGTGTGCAGTCCAGCTGTGCCCACCTGGCTCGCCGAGGCAGAGTCCCCTCGAAGACAGTGGGTTAGGGTTCCCGGCTTCAGGACATGTGTGAGGGGAGGGCTTCACCATCTAACTGGGCACTGCCAAGCTGTTTTGCACGGATTTTATGGCGAGAAATGTGCCAGACCTGCCCGGCCTGTACACTGTTCTCACTTGTATCATTATTTTGTCTTTTCCATGACTTTGGCTTCCTTTAGTTTAAGTGGTTCTGGCTTGTCTGTCTTTCACAATGCTTGCGCTTTTGAGAAGGAGAGAGGTGTGTGTGTGTGTGTGTGTGTGTGTGTGTGTGTGTGTGCGCGCGCGCGCACTCACTGTTGCCTGGTAATACATGCTTGAGAGGAGTGTGAAAATGTATACTCCGTCAGATGACAAAGCGATAACGTGTCTTTTCTGAGAAATTCCTCTGTTGTATCTGGATCCCACCACTCCCAACCCCCGATCCAATCCCACCAATAAGCCCTCTAGTTATTCCAGGGCAAAGCCCAGCACCAACCCTTCTGCCCCAGAGTCAGTGGCCCTGTAAGACCGAGCACATGCACCCCCACAAGGGCTCCCCACACTGGAAGTCCTTACAGAAGTGGACTGACTCATCCTTCTCCCACGGAGCTGATGGGGGCTTCAAACTACAGACCTTTTGATAAGAAGGTGAATTTTTAAACAACTGCGTCACCCGAGCCCTGATTTTCTAGGGCAGCCTCGTCGTGATAACTATTGCTTCTCCGTGGCTCTCAGAAGGCACTCTGCTTTATAGTCTGCCACGCGTTACATGGCTCGTCAAGAGGCTGTGTGTCGGTGGTGTTTCAAATCTACCGCCCACTCAGAAGGGATAACAGTGGGCCGTCCACTTCCATAAAGGTTCACGGTCTCAGAAACTGGAAGGAGGGCTGCTGTAAGTCAGAGCTAAGCTGAGGGCTGTGCACTTGATCTTTGAGTAATCTGTGGCCCCTGGTTCCTTGATGGCTCAGTATCTGTACCTCCCTGAAGTACAAGTATTTTCTGTCACCTAACGTCCACAAAAGGAGCTCTGGTGGCAATGGTAGGGAGTCTGGGCCTGAACCATCATCACCGCCGAGAAGGTGACTTCTAGGCTGCACACAACAGCATGGCAAAAGTAGTGTTCTGACCTCCAGATGAGGGTCTGGCCTCCTGGCATGCCTAGGTACCCCATCCACAGACACACATGTAGTCAGAGTTGGCCTGGGGTTAGGGTTAGGGTTAGGATTAGGGTTAGGCTTAGGGTTAGGGTTAAGCAATGTACACATGTATTTAAGGGTGTATTGGATGGAGGGGGCCAGGGCTTAACTGTTAATTTCTCTCTTGTGCCAGGGGCAAAGTGGAGGAAAGCTTAGCGTCAAGGAGTTAGGGGCTGTCAGAGGGAGCACTCCGCCTGCCTGATCATCGTTGATCCTCCAGCTTCTGGAACCTGGGAAAGAGTCACGTAACACCCATCTAAAGCTCTTCCTATCTCTGAACTTCTGTAGCCCCAGGACCCTCTGATGGAAAGTCTGGAGTAACAGACTCTTCTGGGAAGTTAATCAGTCCTTTGCCTGGGGCTGTGGTGATGGAGTTGTAGGGAGTTCCCTGCTAACTTAAAGGTAGCCAGTACGAAGCTCTCAGTGGCTCCATGGGAGAAGGATGGGCAGAGTCCTCCCATGTGACTTACAGACTCTGAAAGCCCGCTGGGGGCTCAGCTATGATTCGATTCTGACTTGACAACAGTGAGAGACAGAGATCCCCCAAAAAGAGTATCTCCCCGGATGACACACACAGTGATGTTCCCAGCTGCTAACAGAAACTTACAGCTTAACTCCACTCAGAGGTACCTCAGAGAAAAGGCCGGCTGATCCGCTCTGAAAGGTCACCCTACTGAAAACCCCCACGCCCATGTCTACGTGGAAACACGTGGGGTCCCTGTGAGTCCAGATGGAATCCGTGGCAGCCTCTCTTGACTCACTTTTGCTTTGGATGCCCCAGATATGGGCTGGATGGCTCAGTTACAGAGGGAACCGACTTAGCTGTTCCCACGCTCCCAGCTGCCTCCAACCCTCTGAGCTGCTGGGAAGGCCAAGGACACATCAGCTCGGAGGACCAGGTAACTTCCCAAGCTCGCTTCAGCATCAACAGCTGAACCCACATCCGGAGAGAAGACTGTATACAATAAACTCCAGGCCACCAACAGCTGGCCCAGCTGTGTCCTCTGGGTGGGTGCACACACAGAAAGCCAGCGAGAGACAGAGAGCAACTCCCCAGCCATTGCCAGAAGTCCGAGGAGGAGGACAATCATGTCACTCCTTTTGCTTACATTTCTTGGGTTGTAAATGTCTGTGAAGACAAACCTCACTCATCCTGCGTGATAAACTGTACTCGCTTGGAAATCTGTTTTCTAACACAAAGTCTTAAAGTGGCTCTGGGAAGAGGGGTAACCAGACAGCTTAGTGGAGCAAACAACAAGGACGCGTAGGAACAATCTGTAACCTTCTGGAAGGTTCCCACACTCAAAGGAAACAGCCATTATTTAGTACATTGGAAAGCACAGTCAAAGCACGGGTTTAAAAGTAGGTATAGGAACGGTTTCCGGAGGCATGCACTGCTGACCTAAAGCAAGTGTGGTGTGAACAGCGCCTACAACCACCAACCTGATGCCGCTTCTACCCTCTTCCAACCAGAGAAGCTGGTGGTGGTGAAGAATGGCCACAAATAAATGCCAGGCCGTCTCCACTCTGTCCTGTACCCTCGCTGCTTTCTCCCCAGAGCCTGCCCTTGCAGTTCGCATGACCATCTTCATTTCTCCAAGTTCACAGTTTCCTGATGCATGTGGTTTAGAAAGTGGATGCCACTCCTGCTTCCAAACTTGAATCAAATCTTATTTTTCAAAAAATATTAAAGGTCATTAGTTCTTTCCTTTGTAGGGTTGGTACTAGATGGCACTTAACAACAGCATAGAACGTCAAAACCCTTGCCTCCACTTTGGAGTTGGATGAAGCCTCTGGAGTCTGTAAAATGATGTTCTTGCTTTGTTTGAGGGTCTGTGTGGATGGTTTGGTTGTTTTTATTTAAGCCTCCTGTTTAGAGTCAACAAGACCTCCTGGGGGGGCCCTTATATTTAAAAGTTGGGCCTAAGGGATTATATTTTGATCCATTGTTACTGTATTTTGGAGGAACATTCTTCTAAGTCATACAGCACTCTGGCAATTTGATGTGATGAGGTAATCTGGGTTTACTGTGACACTAGCTCTTGCGCCATTTGGGTTTCAGATGTCATAATGAACAACTGTGCCATAGGTGTGTCTAACAGCCTAATGGCTACCCATCATGGGCAGTGTTTGGTGGAGCTTCCAGATGGATTCAAGATGAAGATTGACTACTCCATAGACTGTCAAAAAAGAACAAACAAGACCGTCGTGGAGGGTGGAGCTTGGGTGTTCCTTGGAGGTAAGGATGGGAAGTCTGGGCTCACTCACATTGGACCTGTTGTCAGGAAGGTCCAGTCTTTCAGAAAGGACCTCCTGCTGGGCAATGTGGAGGGTCAGAGAAAGAGATAAGACCCTCAGAAAGATGCACTGAAACAGTGACTGTAACAATGGGCGCACGTGCATTAGAGAGCATGAAGGCAGAACAGGACAGGGCTGGTTCACTCCTGTTGTTCTTAGGGTCACTCTGAGCTGTAGTTGACTCAACAGCCCCTAACAACAACAAACAGCCACTCCAGACAAAGCCGGAGGAGCCTGCTGTGGTGGTGGGGTCATCCTGTGAGGATGGCTGTAGTCCCAGCTTTATAAAAAGCAGAAGTCTGCAACACCCCTCAGGTCACCCCAGGAGGAAGCAGAGGCAGGGTCAAGGGCACAGAGGCAGCAGTTGGCAGCCACACTCGGATCCCCAGTGCCGTTATTACTGTCTGGGCAGAGCACACGAGGAGAGTGGAGCCCGGATTCCAGGACGACCAAACCCAAGCTCAGTTCAATGACACACACAGCCCCTGAGAACACACAGTGCGGTGCGGCAACATAAGGAATAAGAAAGACCCAGACCTGCTTCACACAAGAGTAGGATCTTTGCCGAGTAATGTGCAAGTCATGATTTAGAATCGGACTCAGAGAAGTCGGACTCAGAGAAGTCACCCCACTGCCCTAGGGAAAATCTGTTCCTTTTCTTTCCACCCTGGAGCAATGTCTCGTTTTTTTCCCGAGCTTCTGCCTCTGGGCAATCTTTTGTTGGCTCTGCATCTCTCTTCCCTGCTCCTACTCTGCTCACATGGCCCATTCCTTGCAAATACCTTTTCTTTTAAATGTCCATTCATTGACCATTGTACTTTTCTTCCCATCCAAACCCTCCCCCCTAGTATACTGCCCTCTTGGAAAAGCAAAAGAAAAAGTCTTTCATTGTTTTACAAACCTTCCCCCCAGGTTCACTCCACCATGTAGCCTTCGCTCTAGACTCCTGTCATGACGAAAATACCTAATC